AGACGTCAAAATCTGAGTTTACCTTTCGTCAAAAACCATAAATTTTTTACTGCATACCAGGGTTCTAAAGAATCGAAAAGTGGCCAAATTTGGCCTCAAAGTTGTTTGTAGGGAATTAATGTACCTAATATAACTCAACATAGATCGTTTGAAAGGTTCAGGTCAACATTGAGGCTAAATTTTATGGACATTTGATAAAAAACGAGATTTTTCGCGGATTGAAAAAGGACTTAGATTTCGAATATTTCAAGAGATTATTCCCAAATGAAAAGAGCAGAGGTCACTTTTCTTCTGTAAATGAAGTTCTGATCTTTTATTTGTAAATAATCTATTGAAATATTCGAAATCGAAGACCTCTTTTCCAAAAAGTCCTTTTTCAATGCGCGAAAAATCTCGTTTTTATCAACTCTCCTTAAAATCTCCGTTTCAATGGTGATCTGAACCTTTAAATCGAACTATGTTGAGTTGTATTAGTCGCATTACATCTTGTTCAACAATTCTGAGGCCAAATTCCGCCATTTTGCGATTATTCAAAACCCTGATATGAAGTTGAAAATGTATGGTTTTTTACGAAAGGCAAAATCAGATTTTGACGCCTTTGTCCATTTAAGATCATAACTCGATAATTTTTCATCATTTTTGCGCAAAATGTTCTTGAAAAGTGTACCTTCATTTTAATCTTTAAATGGTGCCTGTAAGTCTAGTCGCAATTGAATTTTGAAAAATTAGTCCAAAACATTACTCGTCATACCTTAATAGAAAAAGAAAAAGAAATAACCTATGGGCAAAAAGATTGAGACAAATATACAAATCACTTGTAAAGCTTTTTCTTGATAATCCGATTAGCCAGAGCGCCGAAACTTTCAGAAGACTGAGAAGAGAGTTCAGTTCATCTACAAGCAGAAATTCAAGATCATCGATATTCTGATCATTTTAAATTAATCATTAACTCTTGCGACAATTGAATGATTTCTTGCCTCTCAGCATAAGAAAAAAATATTGCAAAAAATCAATTAACTTTAAGATCCATTTATTCAGAAGTTATATAATATTTAAAGCTTTTTCAACATGCTAACGCTTAAAACACTCTATGACCTATCAAAATCTTTAATTTCAATCATGATATTATGCCTAAGACGACAATAATTTAGTCTAACAAATAAGAAAAAATTTAAAAATTCAACTTCAATCACCGCATAAGGGTGCCAAAAATATAAAATTTGAATCAAATGGTGCTATGTATAGTAGGTCATTATATATCAAATCAAACAGCAAGAGTTGTTCAATCTTTGATCGTTTGAAGTGAAAAGTGAAAAAGATACGAGCAATTAAACATTTGTCTCAAACTTCCTGCCCATAGGTTAGAAAAAGCTAATATCGTCTTGTAGGCATAATCCATTCTTACATAATCCGAAATCAAAATTGGGACCAGTGGGACCTCATATTGGAAACGATACAGCGTTCTTTACATTATAATTTGTAGATTCAATTGCAATTCAAATTCAAATTCAAACCGCAATAGACTTTACGAAAAAGCTATCATCATCTTGTAGGGCATAATCTATTGCAACATAATCTGAAATCAAAATTTGGGGACAATTCAACAATTTTGATTGGATTGGATGGTGGATTCAATGGATTGATTTTTTAATTTGATTGGTTTTTATATTTGGTTCGAATAATTTGGAAAGAAGAAGTCAAAAACTAAATTTAGTCGATGTAACTTGAAAAGTTGAAACCAAAAAAGTTTTGTTTGACCTTTGCCCTCTCCTACTTACCAGTTTTACTTTTTCTATGGAAAGGCTTGTATAAGCTATTGATAAAAGTTTTTTCAAAAGCCATAAAGTGGTCAAAAATATTAAAGAGAGTTTATTTGCTCTGTAGCGTTAGCAATGTATTTAGGCAAAACTACTCTTCGACTTTTTTGTCTCAAACCGGTTCGATCGCGGTTTATATTAATATTACAGGTGAACTATTATTTTCTTATTCTTCATTTTATAAATACAGATACTCAAACCTGTGATTGACAATGATCCGAAGTCAAGTTTCAAAGGTTTTGATTTTATTAGTGTTCAAAAATTATTTTGGACAAAAAAACGTCTAAGAGTAGCAACGAAGGGTTAAGATCTTCAGCAGCATCTCGCTGTCGTCGATCATGATCAAGTATCATCGTTTGCAGATGGAACCAATAATCCTGTAAAGACCAAAATAATGAGAATCTTTATCACAAAAATCGGAAAGTTTAGAGAAAGTTAGAAAGTTTTAGAATTGTTAACAATAACTTTATTTGTTGCTAGTTTAACTTTAACTCATAAATGGGAATATAAACTCAAGTCGTTATAAATCACTTTTATTTGAATATTCAAAAGACATTAAGTAAAAGAAAGTCGATTAATTTTGTTATATACAATGCATTACAATTATTATTGGTATTTACAATATTGACTTTTTTCATAATCCTGCAACGCTAAGGCCAATTCACGTCGCAGTGAGTTAACTACCTCTTCTTGTGTACGAATATCGTCATCAGATATTATTAGAGTTTCAACTAAGGGTTGTTTAGGATCCAAAAAGACATCCGGGTGCGCGTCCAAGACACTTTTTTCAGTTGTTTGTCCAATAATTGGACCTTGGTTAAGATGTAGGGAACTTATAACACTTCTAAAGGCTGTATCGTTTCCAATATGAGGTCCCACTGGTTTAATATTATCAGGCAAATCGAAACTTTCACAAGAATCGGAGCGCAAAATGGTCGGTCTCAATCCTTCCAAACGCTTATACCAAAAGAGTTGCTGGGGCTTTTGAGGTGAGATATTGCCAATATCGGTTCTAGTGGTAAAGGTGTTGTTGCCTCGTCGTGATTGGAGTCGTGTTTGAGGTCGTGATTGGGATCGTACAATAGCCACAGGTTGTTTGCGGAGCTTCGACGAGGCACTTCTTTGCTTCTTTTTAGATTTCGGATCTTTAGACTGAAAAAAAGACCAAGAAAAAAATCAGTAAAATTAGTAAACAGTCGACTCTAACATTCAGAAGTACTTACAGTTTTGTGAGCCATAATTGTGAAGGCAAAAATATGATAAAGGGAAAAAAAGGTAGGTACAGAGAGCCTGAATTCAGATCAATTGTTGAACAGTGCGTCACAATAGTCACAAATAAACTGACTTATTTAGACTTATTTCACAGCTATATACAGATTATTTAAACTGCTTAAGTTTATTCAACATAAACAGTTTAAGTGTCGATAGTTTTTTAGGTAGGAAATTTTAATCTGTTAATTCTGTTAATTCCTACTTATGTTAGTTTATTGCCATGAAATTCAGTAACATCATTATTTTTTAATAAATTTCACAAAAAAAGATTTTTAGAAGCTGTTATTATCAATATTAATCATGAAAATACGGAACATTTTGAAAGTTTTACTTAATACCAGCAACGGCCATAGCATGGTTTAAGGCAATGTCCTTAAATTGATTGTTTTTTTCATTCTCAGCCTTCCTCTTGTAGACAGCCTTTTCATCAATTGACAGAGCTTCCCATTCAGAGGCAACGATTTTGGATATTTCACCGAATGATGCCGTTTTATTTTCCTCTTTAATACGAGCTTGACGTTCTCGGAAAAAATGTGCATATCCTGAGGCTGATTTTTTATTATTGTTGGGCTCCTTTTTACGATTGGTCTTCTTCTTTCGGATAACTTTTACTGGTTTAAAGTCTTCTTCTTTATTATTGTTCAGAACATGAGGTTGAACACTTAATGGTGTAACGTTAAGGGTATTGCCTTGACTGGGATTTGGGAATGATAGACTCGGCTAGATAGAGAAAAATGAGAAAACGAAAACGAAGATTATTAATTAGCTTAATCAATTAATTGTTCATAACATACCACATCACAATCAATCTGAGGAGAGTAGCTACAGCTTTCTGCATGCTTCTGAAGAACACCTATGGCATCATCCATTCGTTCCTCCATATATCTATTGAAAGATGTTGACCAGGAACCAGTTCCTTCAGATCCTTGAAGAACCGATACATTGATTGGTGAAGTTGGATTAAGTTGATGAGATTGGTTACAATATGAGTTATAATTTGGAGCAGTCGAACTATTCCAAGCATCTGGAGTGTTGATATAATCATTATATCCTTCAGAGGAAAAGGAATCAAAGTTAACTTGGTTGGAGCCAACAAAATAGTTTTGGCCATTATTTTGGGTGTCATATCCATCTTTGAATTTATTAAAACAATTTTGATACACTCCTAAGTGGCTAATTCCTGGCTGCTCTGTGTTAGTAACTGGACCATTCATGATGAGAGACAAAAAACTTAGTGAGAAGTATTGAATGTAACGATGAAAATGGATGAGTCTTGTTGACCACTCAAGAAAAAGGGACAGGAGAAATAGAAAGATGACAAAGAAATAAAAATTGAAAAAATCAGAAATCGTTGCTTGTGAGGAAAGCTGAAAATGCTAAGAACGACCAATGCATCCTGAATAAGGTTTTTATTTGATGCATAATAGCACCGTCTGAAAATTTGCAATTCACACCGTTATTTCACTAAACTTTCACTAAAGAACCCAGTGTGAGTAAATTGAGTATTGATACTTTCATTTTGCTAAAGTAAATCGAAATAAAACGACGCTGAAGCCATTAGACGCACACACATTATTTATCTTCTCTCGCTGGTGAAAAGGTTAAAATAAGAAGAAAACTTGATCAGATTTTATTTTAGTTTGTAATTTAGTAGTGAATCGACTATAATTGATGGTTATATGCTAATTCACTGAGTATAACCTGTGTGGCTGCATTATGAGACTTATGTATTTGTATGCCTTGGAGTTTAGTCACAATTAGTTAGTTGAAATACAGGGAAACATGGAGAAGAAGATGACCTTTTGAACCATATAATCGCGTCAGATGTACATGGTAAAATTTAAAATGAGTTATGCAGTTAGTAAATTGTTTTGAACTAATGTTTTCAAAAGAAAAATTGAAACATGTAAGTTGCAAATATGAATTTATTTTATTGAATCATTAAGATGACAAATGGATAGAAGTGGTTACAGAAAAATATTAGCTACAGAATCTTTATGCGTGCTGCACGAGTTATAGATGATTGATTTTAGATCAATCATTAATCGAAATTGTGTCACACATTTAACTGAATTGAATTGCATTCATTGCCGTTCGGCCATCCCAATACCATACGACGCTGATTCGAGATGAGCTTGCTTAAGGTCTGCAAAAAACTTGCCGACATCACCTGATTGAATATCTTCGGTTAGTGCGAATGGACTGAGGGCACGCTTTCCTCGGCTGGAAGATGATGTCTTGGCGACGGCATCTGATGATTATTTACAAGATTTTTACATTAGTTGACTAAGTTTTTACACAACATTCACTCAATTTTTGGACTTACCTTGCAATTGTCCAAAGAGGCTTATGAGCTTCCAAACAGCGTCTTCAGCGCTGTACTTGGCAACAGTAAAGGCTGTTGATAATTCATTGGATTGAGCTGCGAGTTATAAAAAGTTATAATTTTACATGAATTGATCAAGTTTCAATACAAAGCTTTCCTTGATAGTATTAATATAATAGTCAACTTACGTTTGCATTGTTCAAAGAGGGTTATGAACTTCCAAAGAGCACCGTCAACACTGAACTTTGCCATGGTGAAGGCCTTTGATAATTCATTGGGTTCAGCTATTAACAAGAGAGTTTTAAATTAATGGACATCTTCGGAAATAGCATCTTCACAATTTTTGAGTTATAAGTGGTTAACTTACAGTTAGTTTGTTCAATGAGGGAAAAGAGCTTGTCGATAGCTTCTTCAGCGTTGCTTTCGGCTTTTATGACGGAATCTGATGATTCACTGGATTGGGCTAGTTTTAAGAGGTTTAGATGGCAAATTAATCCTTTATGTTTCAACAAAATATGCTCTTGATTATGGATAACTTACGTTTAAATTGTTCGAAGAAGGCAAAGATCTTCTTGAGAGATTCTTCAGAGTTTTGCTTGGCTTCATCAGAAAGCTCTGTTAAGAAAAGATTGGTATTGATTAATATATTTAAATTGAAAAGAGTTGACGAACAACTTACTCTTGAGGTCTTCAACAGCATCTCTCTTTCGTCGACCAGGAGCTACTTCAGCGAGGACTTTCAACAAGTCATGAGCGAATGCGAATAAATTACCTTGAGCAAGATCATCAATGAGTGCAAATGGGTTGCTGTCTCGCTTAGTTACAATGACTGAAGCTTCAGTAGCTTGATGCTCTGAAATTAAGAGAAACAGAAAAATAAGTTTTGTACGCTTTCATTCTAGCATCTCATAGCCTTGCAGTCGATAACCTACGGTTTACGAAATCGCTTAGTAAGTTTCTAAGATCTTCAACAGCATCTCTCTTTCGTCGACCAGGAGCTACATCAGCAAGAACTTTCAATAAGTCTTGAGCAAATGCGACTAAATCACCTTTACCAAGATCATCGAACAGTGCGAATGGGTTGCTGGATCGCTTAGTTACAGTGACTGAAGCTTCAGTTGTTTGGTTCTCTGCAATTAAAAGAAAGAGGAAAATTAAATTTTCTGTTGCTTATGTCTTATAGTCTTATAACTTACTGTTGTTTCCGAAAGCGTTGAATAGGTTTTTAAAGGCTTCTTGGACCTTCTCATTGAAGTTTTGACCGAATTCTTCAAGATTCATAAGGAAGATATGTTATTTAACTGGCTCAGGACAATATAGTTAGATACTTACGTTCAAAAGCGTGGAAAGCATTTTGAGTGTTGTTCTGGATATCATTGACTAAGCTTCGCTTGTTCAATGAGCTAGCAGAGGCAGCTGTGAGGAATGGATGAAAAGGATTAGAAATGATATTTGATACAAGACTTTGAGTTATATCTTACCTCCAATGAAGCAGAGAGCCAAGACAATGGTGAAACGCATTTTGATTTGGTTGAGGATGAGAATTCCGTTCGATGAACAATTCTAAACTGGATTATTCCAATGAATGATTATTTCGATGGAAAAGCAACTCTTTTTATACTAAATCTCGTTTGCTTCGAAAAGCTACATTTCTGTATTGAATATTATCTGGTTGACATATTCTTCACATTTAGAAGTCGCTCATCTTCCGAACATTGAAATGTCAATCAAAATCAATTGTATTGGATGTAGATTTATGCTGTAATTTTCGTGACTGTGGCGATTACATATTTATACCTATCTATGGCATATTTTGATTTCGTTCATATTATTTGAACTCAAGATCCAGACGCTTCTGCAACTGTATCTCAATAGCTCGACTTATACAGTTATTGAGTGACTTTGAAATCGGTAAATCAATTGTTATATCTTGACAGATCAACATGTGGATCAATTATCCTTCTTCGTCACAATAATTTGATGGAGCAACAAGCCATGGATTGCGCATTAACACTTGGACCATTCTCATTCATAATTTGAGTTTTAATTAAAAACGAAGACCGAATTTTGATTTGTTTAATTGCTTTCTATCAATAATAAAGCCAGAAATCTGTAAACATCTTTAAAAGTGGTTTGTAAAAGTTTGAAGTCAAAACTGTTCAAATGGTCACTCAGTGCAAGAATGGACATTTCATTTACTTAGTTCTATAATAAGTTGTATTTTAACCTGAAACTGGCTTTTCATTTCAAATCAAATCATTTTTTTTGTAATTAATCATATATGATTTAATTAAATACCATTGTTTATTTTGATTGATTTGGAAATATGTGACAGTTAGATGAAGCTCCAGAAAGAATCAAATGAGTGTGAGTACATTGAGTATTGATGCACCAATGCTTTGCTTTTGTTGAAGGGACCGAAATGAAATGACTGTGAAATTAAAAGCCATTGGACTCGAATAGTAATGCTTCTTTGCTGTGAAAAGGGTTTTGGTCTGAAGCAGTAAACCCAATCCTGCAAAAGTTCCAATGGTAAACTAGTAAAAGCTTAGAGCAGTGACTTTGTGGAGGCATAAAAACCGCGTTCATTAATGTTATGAAAAAATTTCTGAGGTCAGAAAGTTTTCGAGAGAATAGAGGTAAAAGTAAACTTTGATTGACTTTTGTTCGATTATGGAAGCTGATTTTTTTCGTGGAACTTATTTCACTAATGCAACTTTTAATGATCAACCAGAAAATGTACTCATTATGGGAATAAAATTTTCAGTTTCTGTATTAGAGGTACTTCGATTTACGGACAAGTTATTCAATTTTAGCGAGGACAATAGAGAATGAGCTGAGACTCAGATTTTACATAAAATATAATGTACATCAAGTCTATGGCACTTCCTATGGCCGTTAGTAGTTGATTGAATTTATAATCATTCATTGGAATAATCCAGTTTAGAATAGATCATCGAACGGAATTCTCATCCTAAACCTAAATCAAAATGCGTTTCACCATTGTCTTGGCTCTCTGCTTCATTGGAGGTAAGATATAACTCAAAATCTTGTATCAAGTATCATTTCTAACCCTTTCCATCTATTCCTTACAGCTGCCTCTGCTAGCTCATTGAACAAGCGAAGCTTCCTCGATGATATCCAGAACAACACTCAAAATGCTTTCCACGCTTTTGAACGTAAGTATCTAACTTTATTGTGCTAAGTTAGTCAAAGACTTCAATGAGAAGGTCCAAGAAGCCTTTAAAAACTTATTCAGTGCATTCGGAAACAGTAAGTTATAAGATTTTAACATGAAAGCAAACAAAGGATGGCCGGACAGCAATAAAATTTGCGACTTATTTTCCATTAATAATTGAATAACGCATGAAGCTTACACTAAAATTCTGTATTGTGGACACTTTTCTTTGCTTACTTCTATCGATTTGCTACCTAAATTATTCACTAAACCAAATTCACATGAATTTAACTTGCAAATTACATGTTTAAATCTTTTCATTTTGATAACATGAGCTCAAAACAATTTGCTAACGGCATATCTTCTTCTCAACGTTTCCCTGTATCACAACTAACCTTTATGACTAAATTACACCTTCAAGGCATACAAATACATAAGCAAAAGTCTCATAATGCATCCACACAGGTTATGCTCATTCAATCAGCATATAATCCTCAATAATGGTTGATTCGCTACTGAATTACAAATTAAAATAAAAGGTGTTCAAATTTACATTTTTCATTGTAAAGGGAATAGTTTTCATCAATGCGAATGTCTTCAGTGTTTAGCAGTTTTAGACGCGAACCCTTTTGACCGAAAAGGAATATGTGTTTGGTCCAATGGTTTTTAGCGTCATTCGATTTCGGTTTACTTAGCAAAATTGAAGAATCGGTATTATACATCGATACTCAATGTACTCGCGCTTATTGAATTCTTTAGTTGGAATTGAATTAAGTTGTCACATCTTTTCAAATCAACCACAAAACTCGGAAAGTTTAGGAAAGTTAGAAAGTTTTAGAATTGTCAAACTTTAATAATAGTTGCTTCAATTTTTATTATATTTCTTTGCCATCTTTCTCTCTTTCTATTTCTTCTGTCTCTGTTTCTTGAGTGGTCAGGTTAAGTCACATTAAGTTTTTTGTCTCTCATCATGAATGGTCCAGTTACTAACACAGAGCAGCCAGAAATTAACTTAGGAGTGTTTCAAAATTGTTTTAATAAATTTAAAGATGGATACGACACCCAAAATAATGGCCAAAACTATTTTGTTGGTTCCAACCAAGTGAACTTTGGGTTTATTACCCTAATGGATACAATAGAATCAAAAATCTTGATTCTTTGAAAAAACTTACACATAACTTTCTCGAAAAGTAAGAACAAAACATTGTTGGATTGTTTTCAAAATGAAAAGATTGAAACATGTAATTTGCAACTAAAATTCATATGAATTTATTTTATTGAATCATTAAGATGACAAATGGATAGAAGTGGTTACAGAAAAATATTAGCTACAGAATCTTTATGCGTGCTGCACGAGTTATAGATGATTGATTTTAGATCAATCATTAATCGAAATTGTGTCACACATTTAACTGAATTGAATTGCATTCATTGCCGTTCGGCCATCCCAATACCATACGACGCTGATTCGAGATGAGCTTGCTTAAGGTCTGCAAAAAACTTGCCGACATCACCTGATTGAATATCTTCGGTTAGTGCGAATGGACTGAGGGCACGCTTTCCTCGGCTGGAAGATGATGTCTTGGCGACGGCATCTGATGATTATTTACAAGATTTTTACATTAGTTGACTAAGTTTTTACACAACATTCACTCAATTTTTGGACTTACCTTGCAATTGTCCAAAGAGGCTTATGAGCTTCCAAACAGCGTCTTCAGCGCTGTACTTGGCAACAGTAAAGGCTGTTGATAACTCATTGGATTGAGCTGCGAGTTATAAAAAGTTATAAAAAGTTATTTTTTTGCATGAATTGATAATGTTTGAAAACAAGGCTTTCATTAATAGTTGCTAACTTACGTTTGCATTGTTCGAAGAGAGTTAAGAACTTCCAAAGAGCTTCGTCAACACTGAACTTTGCAATAGTGAAGGCCTTTGATAATTTTCTGGGTTTAGCTACTATTAATGATATAAGAGTTTGAAATTAATGATCATGGACGGAAACAACATCTTCTCATCTTATTTAACAGATCAGTGGTTCACTCACATTTATTTTGTTCAAAGAGGGAAAAGAGCTTCTCGATAGCTTCTTCAGCGTTGTGCTTGGCATTAGTGACGGCGTCTGATGATTCAGTGGATTGAGCTAGTTATAAGCGTTTTAGATTTCAAATTAATCTATCATGTTTAACCACAGTATCCTCTGAATTTTTCATTGATGGTGATAACTTACGTTTGAATTGTTCGAAGAAGGCAAAGATCTTCTTGAGAGATTCTTCAGAGTTTTGCTTGGCTTCATCAGAGAGCTCTGTTAAGAAAAGATTGGTATTGATTAATATATTTAAATTGAAAAGAGTTGACGAACGAATTGTTCGAAGAAGGCAAAGATCTTCTTGAGAGATTCTTCAGAGTTTTGCTTCAAGAACTTTCAACAAGTCTTGAGCAAATGCGACTAAATCACCTTTACCAAGATCATCGAACAGTGCGAATGGGTTGCTGGATCGCTTGGTTACAGTGACTGGGGCTTCAGTTGTTTGGTTCTCTGCAATTAAAAGAAGCAAAACAATTAAACTTTCTGGTGCTTATGACTTATAGTCTTATAACTTACTGTTGTTCACGAAAGCATTGAATAAGTTTTTAAAGGCTTCTTGGACCTTCTCATTGATGTTTTGTCCGAATTCTGCAAGATAAATGAAGATTATAAGGAATATATGGTTATTTAACTGACTCAGGTTAATATAGTTAGATACTTACGTTCAAAAGCGTGGAAAGCATTTCGAGTGTTGTTCTGGATATCATTGACTAAGCTTCGCTTGTTCAATGAGCTAGCAGAGGCAGCTGTAAGGAATAGATGGAATGGGTTAGAAATGATAGTTGATACAAGACTTTGAGTTATATCTTACCTCCAATGAAGCAGAGAGCCAAGACAATGGTGAAACGCATTTTGATTTAGGTTTAGGATGAGAATTCCGTTCGATTAACAATTCTAAACTGGATTATTCCAATGAATGATTATTGTTATGGAAAAGCAATGCTTTTTATACAAATTTACGTTTGCTTCGAAAAGTTACATTTCACATTTAACAGACGCCCATCTTCCGAACATTGAAATGTCAATCAGTTTAAAAATCCTGCCAAATCAATAGTATTGGATGCAGATTTATATGGCAATGTCGAGATTAAGTCTACATGTTTATCGCCCAATGGAACGCATAACAATGGGAGGAATGCCAATCATGACTTATTATGATTTCGTTCATATTATTTGAACCCAAGAGCCATACGCTTCAGCAATTGTGTTTCAATTGTTAAAATAGTTTGGCTTTACAAGCATTGAGTGACTTTGAAATTGGTAAATCAATTGGACATTGTTATATCTTGACAGATCAGCATCTGGATCGATTATCTCACTTTTAATGAATTGCTTTGTCACAATAATTTGATGGAGCAACAAGCCATGGATTGCTTACCATTCTCGTTCATAATTATAGTTTTAATCGCTAAGGAATACCAGATTTTGATTCTTTTAGCATCTTTCTGGTGATTATAAAGTAAGATGCATCTTTAAAAGTATTCGGTCAAAATTTTGCAAATGGTAATTCAGTTCATAAATTGACATTTCATGCATCCGATTCTGTAATAATTTGCATTTTGCAGTTGAAACTGACTTTCTTGTAAATTATTTTTTGTAACTAATCATGTATGAGTTAATTAAATGCCATTGTTTGATTTTGATTGATTTGCAAAGATGTGACAGTTAAATGTATCTCTTGAAGAAACCAATGAGTGTGGGTACATTGGGTATTGATGCACCGACCCTTTAATTTTTCTGAAGTAAACCGAGATCAAATGACGCTAAAAAGCCATTGGACTCAAACTCGATAGTTATCATTACTTGTTGTGAAAAGGGTTTTGGTCTAAAACAGCTAACACAATTCGTCTCAAGTTCAAATGACAAACTTTTAAGAGTTTTCCTTTCGAGTTGAAAGTAGTGACTTTGTGGAGGCATGAGTCTATTAATGTTATTAAAAAATGATCAGACGATTTTCGAGAATCGAGGTCAAAGTGGAAATTTTTGTCGCCTTTTGTTCAATTATGAAAGCAGATTTTTTCATGAAACTTATTTTACTAATGTATTTTTCCATAATCAACCAGAAGATCTACTCTTTCGGGAAATAAAATTTTCTGTTTCTGATCTAGAGGATCCTTCGATCCTAAGACAAGTTATTCGCTTTTGGCGAAGATAATAGAGAATGATCTGAAACTCATTTTTCTCTGAAAATTCATATTGCAACATGGTTTATTGGATGCTTTTCTGGATTCATCAACAGTTCTATTGATATTGGCCATTGGTCTCAAAATGGTACTTACATGTAGCTAACAGCTAGTCCTAGATTAGTTTATTGATATGGTCACTTTATTACTCTTTTATTGCATTTCAATTGAATTCTCAGAAATATTACTGATAGGTTTCTGAGAATAGACCCATACTAGGAACCATCAATGCTGAAAGTAATTTAACTGATCACTTCAAATGCGAAATCTTCCTGGAAGCATTTATAAGATAAGTATGGGCTTGATAATGATTAGAAATTAAAACAGACTAGTTGCTATGGTTTGATTCATAGATTAGGCATAACAAATGGAAAATCCTAAAACTCAGGATCTGGTTATTTTCTCCGCACAATATTGGATTGTTGACACTGATTACAATAATTATGCCTTAGTTGTTTCATATAACGATGTTCTTGGTCCCCTAAACTCTCGTAAGCATTCAAGTTTCACTGAACTTTATTCCAACCAAAATTTACTCTCAAACACAAATTTTGTTTTATGATTTTCAGGTGATGTTTGGATACTTTCAAGGAAACCAACATTAGAAGACAATATTGTCGCAAATCTGGTTACTAAATTAGACTCGGTTGGAATTAATGGCGTTAAACTCGGTGACATAATCCAAAATTGTTGATTTAAAAAGTAGAATAAGCTGTTATCGATGGACTTCGA